AATTGCATTGGACATCATTTATTTAACGAAGAAATTGAAGTATCATACAAAGTGGGCTCCATTTGATTTGTTGAAGATTGAAAGTAAATTACCAGGAATTTTCAAAAATAAGACCGCAGTCACGTCCAGATTGTATAGTCTATGTGTAGTGTCAGCATGTCTCGTGCTTTAACATGTTATAAATCTGTTGTCATGTACTCATGTTACACCCTTAAAAAGTTGTGTCGAACATGATTATAATCCTTATTAACAATAATAATACGAGTAATAAAATTGTTTATGCTAGATTTTTAGATATTCATGAATTTATATATTAATTGAAATAATGGTTGGTTGAAAATGAAGGTGGTGTCAGATGAAGCAAGAGCAATGTACAACGGAGGGATGGGAGGACTGACTTATTGGAGTCCAAATGTTAATATATTGAGGGACCCACGTTGGGGCCGTGGACAGGAGACTCCCGGTGAAGACCCTGTTGTTGCCGGTAAATACGCTGCAAGTTATGTCAGAGGTTTACAGGGTACTGACGGTGACCGGTTAAAAGTTGCTGCATCTTGTAAACATTACACTGCTTATGACCTTGATAATTGGAGTGGTGTTGATCGCTTCCATTTTAATGCTCAGGTATTTTTATTTAATGTCATATCAACTACTTATTTGATCTTATAATATGTGGTAATTATGTTAATACTAAGGATTAAACTAACCATTAATCATATCACAAGTACGATGTGAGTAATTAATATGACAATTACAACTAGTGCAACATGCTACCATTTATATGTACGCGTAGATATATTAACACAAAAGATATGTGTGAAGTATATTCTAGCAAGGATTTCCCCTGATCAGGTCAATAATTGATCGGGTTTAGCACGTGTTAATAGCTTAGCCCCATATATGCATTTACGGGTACTTGATTGACAAACTATTAACTTTTAATTTTTTTTTCATTGTAAACGACTATGCCGCTTTAGAAACACAAGGTGGGATATTTGATCAAGAAGATAAAGTACATTTTAAAAAGTAATTGGATATAGAAAACAATGTTTTATTTGTTGAAATTGCGTGCAAATTTGACAACCTTGGAAATAGTTGAAATGAAACTAAGCATTAGATTTGGAATGTACTAATACTTCACGAGATTTACCTCTGACATACTGATCTATAAACTCTTAAAACAATAACCCACATTATAAAATATTAATAATATTTGGTATTTTGTACTACGTATTAAGTTAATCATAGTATGATTATATTATTAATGAAAGAATATTTTATCCTTAAAAATAGTGACATAACCAACATAATATATCTCTGGTTAGCATTATGTAACAAGTTGTGCAAGTTGGCCGACATATATAGATAATTGGATAGAGTGGGCCGTGCCAACTTGTTTATAAAAGGAGGCGTGTAGTCAAAGATCATACTTGTATATTGCATTCGAGAATTTAAGAGGATCTCTTTTTGTTTTTTCAATGGTTTTGATATGATTAATTAAACGCCTCCTACAAATGAGATTCTTATAAATGTTCACAAATCACAATGATAATAATTCGGTATAACTCTGTAAAAATGGACCTTTAATTCATAAAATAGATATAAGCGATTTATCTTTAACAAAAATATGTTACAAAACTATCGATTTTATAATGAAGATTAAAAATATCAACAAGTGAGAAAGAAAAAAACTACGTATATTCGTCATATAACCATATATTCTATGTAGTTGCTCACGTTACACATGCTCAAAAACTACCCTAATGAGTAATATGTTATTTTCACTAATATGATACATTAATACGTCTCATGTTAGTTTCACGCTGAGTGAAGTTCGAAATAATTTATATCCTTAATTTTTTATAAATGAGAGATGTAAAGTTTAATTTGTACGTAATTTGTGTGATTTAGATCATTTTTATGTGTGAAAATGATATTATAAAATTACTAAAAATGGAATTGTAAATACTTATTTTTCTTGTGTGTTACTACTCCTAATATGTAATGATGGTTGGACAGGTTACAAAACAAGACATGGTGGATACATATGATGTGCCTTTCAGAGAATGTGTGATGGAAGGCAAAGTTGCGAGTGTCATGTGCTCTTACAATCAAGTCAATGGCATCCCTACTTGTGCTGACCCTAAACTCCTTCGTAACACTATTAGAGGAGATTGGCGTCTTAATGGGTACATTTTCTCTCCCTCCATTCCAAAATAATTGTTAATATTACCGCGTACTTGTTTTGTAATAATAATACATTTTAGTGAGAATTTAGCTGCCGGTTGCCACGTTATACATTTACAATACGCTATAAATGTGACAATTAATTCCAAACGAATATAATTAAGAAATCAGTAAGTTTGTTAAAGTAGCCACAACGCTTACAATATTACTAAATTTACCTAGAAATGGACTACTACTACTTATTGCACATTTTTATCCATAATTCATTGAAAAATGACAAAATTGATTTGTTTTCTGGTGCATAAACAGATACATAGTTTCAGATTGTGACTCGGTTGGAGTTTTCTATAGTAACCAACATTATACATCAACACCTGAAGAAGCTGCTGCTGATGCTATCAAAGCAGGTTAATCAATTTCCTTTTCCAACTTTATACTATAAGATTTTATTTCTATTTATATTCATTTTTTTACTTGTAATAAGATTTAATGACATTTTTTTATATTGTTACAAATAAATGTTGCAGGTTTAGATTTGGACTGTGGGCCGTTCCTTGGGCTCCACACAGAAAATGCCATAAAGAAGGGCCTACTGACTGAACTAGATGTAAACAACGCCTTAACAAATACATTGACAGTCCAAATGAGGTTGGGAATGTTTGATGGCCCACCATCAGCCCAACCATATGGCCACCTTGGTCCAGCAGATGTATGTTCTCCAGCCCATCAAGAGTTGGCCCTCGAAGCCGCCCGACAAGGCATGGTTCTTCTTAAGAACCACGGCCCAACCCTTCCGTTGTCCCATATCCGTCATCGTACAGTCGCTGTTATTGGGCCCAATTCCGATGTCACGGTGACCATGATTGGCAACTACGCCGGTAAGTTTAGGTCTAACTTCGTGGTCATTTAACTTCATCTAGCACGAGCTAGGATTTGGGCTTTTTTTTTTTTTTAGGTTGGCATATTATTCTAAACAATTTTAAATCGACACAAAATCAAATACAATATGGACTTGTTTACTCGAATTGACAGCTTTAATCACAGATATTACTCCAAATTGCTTATTTGTTTTTTTTTACTTGATCTAGGTATTGCATGTGGGTACACAACCCCACTTCAAGGAATAGGGAGGTATGCCAAGACCATTCACCAACAAGGCTGTGCAAATGTGGGCTGCAATGATGACAAACAATTTGGGCCTGCAATCACTGCAGCAACGCAAGCGGATGCAACGGTTCTCATCATGGGCCTTGACCAGTCTATCGAGGCAGAGTTCAGGGACAGAGGTGGGCTACTCTTACCAGGCCGACAACAGGAGCTCGTCTCCAAGGTGGCTGCAGCCTCAAAAGGACCCGTAGTTTTGGTTTTGATGAGCGGTGGGCCTGTGGATATTTCATTCGCGAAGAATGATCCACGAATATCAGCCATAGTGTGGGCTGGATACCCAGGCCAAGCTGGTGGACAAGCCATAGCAGATGTCCTCTTTGGCACAACTAATCCAGGTAACAACAAGACTATAATGTATACCCATTTTATGAATCTTAATTTTCATTTCTATATGTAATGTTAATGATTATATATTCCTTGTAATAGGTGGTAAATTGCCAATGACATGGTACCCTCAAGAATATCTCAACAATCTCCCTATGACCAACATGGCAATGCGCTCAGGACCAGGTTACCCTGGCCGAACCTACCGGTTCTACCAAGGGCCCGTGGTATATCCATTCGGATATGGACTAAGTTACACCCACTTCGTCCACACAATAGCTGATGCCCCCTTGGAGGTTGTAGTACCTTTGGATGGCCACCGGAGGTCCAATGCCAGCAACGCCGGTAAGGCCATCCGTGTGACCCATGCAAGGTGCAACCAATTGTCCTTGTCTGTACACGTGGATGTAAAGAACCATGGATCCAAGGATGGAGCACATACCCTTCTTGTATTCTCGAGGCCACCAGCAGGGCAGTGGGCTCCACGCAAGCAACTCGTTGCATTCGAGAAGGTCCACGTACCTGCTGGATCCCAGCACAGGGTCAGTGTCCACATCCATGTATGCAAGTTTTTGAGTGTGGTGGATAGATCAGGAATTAGACGAATTCCCTTGGGTGATCACAAAATTCACATTGGTGATGCTAGGCATTCTGTCTCACTCAAACCAGAAACTTTGGGAGTCATCAAATCCTAGTTTACATCATTCTTTTTTAGCTTATCATATGGAGCCTCATGCTCAGAAACAGTATTGGCAAACTGCTCGAAGAGCAGGACAGGATCGCGTTAGCAAACTGTGCAAGAGGATTTAGAGTTGCAGTAAATTGGCAAAAGTCATCAATTATGACTATATAGGTCTATTCTTGGCTTCATGCAGCGAAAAGCTTGCTGTAATATATTTATTGAAGCCTCCATTTACATGATTACTACTAGAGTATATTGATTTGGAATTCAATTCAAGAGCAGTACAAGTGTACAATGCAGTCATAATATTGTGTGTGATTACATCATAAATATTACTAGCCTTGTATTAGATCGATTATTAGTGATCTATTTGGAAAGATTCACATATATATATTATTGATTTCAAGTAGTAAATCTTCCATTACTCGATTGTGTCAATCATGTTTGCCTGCATCTGTATGTCCAAATATGCAATTGAAATTCAGAAAGCGCGAAGATAGAACTAAGATTTCACCTAAAGCACAACTATTATGGTTCGACATATACAAAATATTTCATGTTACTATACTAACAAAGCATTCATGCAAGTGTACAAAACACAAAATACATAATCCTACCATCTAAATATAGATGCAGACGGTCAAATTAAGCCAAAATGATACTAGTACGGGCTACAGGGATTAACAATGCTACATGCTACACTATGTTTTAACATCGCGTTGTCAAGCACTCAAGCAGTAGCCTTGATCTGTGATTTCTTAGCAATATGAACATGCAGCACATAATTTATTGCATCAGTAAGCTCGAAAACACATACATCTCCTACCTCCAAACCAGCCCCTCGCGCAAAGATGATCCACCCTGAACCAAAAGTACATCTAGATTGACTTCTTATACATTTAACTGTCACTTGTTTTCCACCATATGCCACAAGCTTTATAAACTTTGATTGCATCACATTGCATTTGAGATGATCATCACAAAAAGACACGGGAACATTCTGCAAGAAAAAACGATGCATAAATTGGAATGTAATGTCGGAAAACCTTCACCAAGGCACACTCAGATCACACCTCAGCGATATACAAGAAAAAAAACTTACCAAGTACAGTCCATTATGCACAGCATACTTTTTAATATCAGTAACAAAGTAAGGTTTATCAGGCAAGGGAATTCCAGCAGCAGCTACCGCGTTCATTACCCCTTCTATATTCCCCAAGTTGTAACTGTAAATATACCCTGCAATAAGAATAGCTTTGATATCTTTACTATGCAGAAACCTGTTAAAATCAGTAACTTTTCTAGTAAATTATATAACAAATGGACTGCATTCTCTTGCATCATTTGTCTCATCATCACTATCCAGTTCAATTATTTCTTCTGAATGCAATATTTCGCGACTCTCCTGAGCATCATCATCGATTTGTTCAGGACAAGGATCATATTGTGGTTTTATAACATTATTCCGTGCAACTGCATTGCATTGATAGGAAATCTCACAAGCAGATCGATCAAAAATATGCACGCAGAAGTTTGAGTTCCCGTCATATTTGAACAACAAAAAGGATGCATAACCTATGGAGTAACACTCCACGAAATCCTGCCAACCATCATGAAACCATAAGTTGTCACCCTCTTCGACTATTGCAACTTTCCGGGTTTCACCTGTAGGCACTCTAAGGATAGCAACATCAGAGAGTTCTTCGCCGAATGCTCTTGCAAACTTCTCCGGAATCATCTGTACATAACCAAAAAACTCAAAGCCTGTTTGTCTTTGTTTATGCGAATATACAAGTAACAGAAGCATCAGACATGAAGTTGCATTTATGTATCATTACATAACATAATTATACAATTATAATCGATGTCAATAGTCCTACAAAACCCGAGTAAACCATGAAAATGCAAATTAAATATCGAATTAATAATTTACTTCCTAATAAACACAAATATTTTTCCATGCTAATATGCTATACTGCTAGGTGCTTAAATTATATATAGCATGACAATATGACCACTTAACCCCATAGAGGCGTAGAAACACTCTTAATTAGAATTTGTTCGTGCGTGTTGATAGTATAATTTGAAGTAGTAACGTTTGTGTAACAACTAATTGTACATCAATGTAATACTCCGTATAGTTAATCCAATAAATCAAAAGAACAACATTTTTTTTTTTTTTTTTGAAGAAATTAAAGAACACGACTTTATTTATCATAAAATCATAATTAGCACATTAAATTAGCAATGGAAAAATACGTACCAACTTGTTAGATTGTAAATTAGGAAAGAGAATCAGCTTGAAAAAGCAGCAAGGTTTTATGTCATGATGAATTATCTTCTCTTCTTCTTGGTTGCACTCCATGGTTGAGTAGTCACGGTCAACCTCACTGTAAATTTAGCGCGCTTTTTGTTAATTTCAACCACATTTATTATTGTGATGAATTGACCGTATGAATTTTGATTAGACCTCACACTTTTTTTTTCTTTTTTTTTTTCCTTTTTTGAGGACATTAGACCTCACAGTTGGCAATCTCTCAGAGTTTATTTTGACTAAACTCTATTTTTTTATTTTTTTAAATGGAGGAAGTAAAGTAATTGTATCTTGGAACTCTCGAATCTCGATGTGGCATTAAATATTGGAGTTTCAATTTAATACCCTTCACTAAAAATTTAGGATTAAAAAAAACGTATAAAGATGTAAAGTATATAGACCTTCAAATGATACAACTCATACAAGTACAAGATATATGAGAAATTGAGAATCAATCTATGGGATGTAAGAATGCAAGACTATGTAAGTACCATAAACCATAATTACTATATATATAAAAAAAAAAAAAAAATTTAAAAAAAAAAGGGGGTGTCATTTGGTTTACGGATAAAATGAAAAGTTGAAATTTTTAACAGTTGAAAATCTTTTGTGGTGTTTGCTTAACAAATTTATAGAAGTATCCACTTTCCACGAAATGAAGTTCCACTATGGTTAATTTTTAGAATTTCCTGGAAAATCCAATTACATGAGAAACTGGTATCTTCAATTATTGCATAACAACTCACGCATTAATCATGAAATTAATGTTAATTTTCCTCTATTATTTTCATCTTTAGTTGTTTTATCCAACATCCTAGAACGCTTGTTAGCTTTACAAGGGAAATAAAAAACATTTGAGCGACAAAATATCACTAACACACAAACCTACACAGCATACACCACTCAATATTAACATGATATCAAAGTCCGTTTGGTTGGACCTTTTGGAATGGAGCTAAGAGTCCATTCTATCTACATAGTATTAATATTAGTATATTACAGAAGTTGGAGCAAGAGTAACACAATTTGCACTATGCCATCAAAATGTATCTTCAGAAACCCTGCAGATATTTTCCTAAATAACTCGAACTCTCAGAACATGCATCTTTGCATCTGTTAGCTCGAAAACACAGACATCTCCAACCTCTAAACCAATCTGTCGCGCAAAGTTAATCCACCCTCGACTTAAAATGTACTTTGTTCTGTCTCTAACACACTCAACATTCCATTGCCTTCCATCATATGCCTCAAGCTTAACAGATTTCTTCTGGTATATCTCACATCTGAGGTGCCCTTGACCGAAGGCCTTAGGAATATTCTGCACGAATAAGAAATCGTGTTTTAAACAATCTTACCAAGTACACTCCACAACTATTACAAGCATAATAAACCTGAATTTGCATAAAACTTACCAAGAACATTCCTTTACTCAAAACATAGTCCTTTATAGCAGCAACAAAGAAAGGATTTTTTGGCAAGGGAATTCCAGCAGCAATAACAACATTGATTAGCCCTTCATACCTCTTCAACCACAAAGGATACCCTGCATATTCGACTAAATCAACTTATCTAACCTCGATTTAAGACTTAAGAGAACGATAAATTAAGCTAAACACACACATGTTATCCAACATATCCACTTACCAAATGGAAAACATTCTCTAGTATCATCCATCACTTTATCATCAACAACACATTCATCGTCTTCACTACTTAGTCCTGTTATTACCTCTACATCAGATGCTTTCGAGCTATTAAAGGAAGATGTGTGCATATTTTCGTGTTTCTTACTGTCATTATCATCACTAAAATCGACTCCTTCATTACATGGATAGGATATCTCAAAACCAGTTAAGTCAAATATATGAACTTTGAAATTAGAATTCCCTTGATATTCAAACAACATCAAGTAAGAAGGGCCTATTGAGAAGTACTCCACAAAGTCCTCCCAACCATCTCGAAACCATAGATCATTGTCCTCTTCGACTAACTCCACTTTTCGGGTTTCACCTGTTGGCACTGTAAGAATGACAGGACTAGAGAGTTCATTGCGCCGTGTATTAGCAAATTTCTTCGGAATCCTCTGTTAGTACATGTATATTTATGAATTGAAGTTGATGAGATAATAAGACTGTTTGAAGTTAAACACTGTTAAGATTATCACCAACTCAAGGAAGACATTATTGGTAACAAATTAATCCAATTCAATTAGCAAAAAACAATGGAGTATGTATAAACAATTAAACACTCTTGAGATTATTACCAACTTAACGAGGATGCCCCAAACACTAAGGCATTTTCGTAAAAAATTCAACAACTTTATTCAACTAAAGCCCACAATGAAAAAATTATTGATTTATTTACGGAAATGAACCCATGAGAAACAAATTTCCTTCCTCATCACGAGAAACAGGAAATTTCCCCAACTTAACTACTTAACACATTGGTAGCAACTAGCAAATCAACCCAATGCAATTAACATACTTTTAGAAGTGTATAATTGTGTTATCTTAATACGGAGTATTATTGCAGGCATTTCCGCTTCTTATTTTCTATCCTCGTAATATTTTGACTTTTATGTTTGTCAATATTTAATTTAACCATTAACATATTAAATTAATTATGAGTAAAAACTGCAAATTAACATTGAGTAGTTGTAGTATCTCACAAATATAATCAACCCCTTGACAACATATAATCAAAGAATAATTGAACAAAATGGAAATTATGTAATAAAATTAGAAGACAGCAAGACTTAAAAATGAATAAATTATACCAATTGGCTTAAATTAGAATGAATTACTGAAAAAATAAGAAAGAAAAGAAAGGTTACCAGCTTGATGGACTGTTGAGGAGGAGAAAGCATCAATTTATAGAAATGAGTAGGGTGCCTTCTTTTGGTCTTCAATTCTTGTTCTTCAATTTTTTTGGGCTTCATTATTGGAGGATCTAGTGAAAGATCTTTATTTGCAGGAATGATTTTTCACTATTTCTACTATGTTAGTTGTAGTACAAACTACAGAGCACATTAATATTATAACGTGTAATTTATTACAGAGTACACTCAAATAGTCAAATGCATGTACTACCTCGGTTTCAAAATAAATTAGGGTATGACTGGAACGTTACACCGGATTTGCTATTTTAATTAAACTTTATGGTTATATTTTCTTTGTTATATTAATATTGTAATAATAGACTTTTTACAATATTCAACACTCTTGTTTGACTATATAATATGATTTATACATTAAGCAAAATATAGTCACGTGGGATTTTGTTGGATTTGTCTCATAAAATACTTTCATAATATCAACTTTTTTTAAAATAATTTTTTTACTCTTGCATGATTATAGATATTTAGCATATAAAATGTGCTTTGGATGCATAATTTCATTCTTGTTGCAATATTAATTGAAAGGAGTTAGTACTACCTCCGTGCTCTTATTATTTGCAACGATTTGTCATAAAGTAGAGATGAACAAATGTCTAATCGTTGCAAATAATATAAAACGCCTATTTGATAGTCACTTATTATTCCATTTTTGGTGATCCAAAATGTTAGTCACATTTGCTTTTTTCAAGTACCATTAATACTATTCCCCTCAAAAAAAAAAAAAAAAAATTCTCACCAATTTGCAAATATATTTGTGCAAATTTAACTATTTCATGTAAATTTTGCTTTCCCATGTGCTTTAATTACTTTATCCCTCTACTTTTTTGCATACTCAATGTAAATCTACTTTTTCAATGTACTTTTGCTACTTCTTATTCATGTGTTTTTAAATCCCGTGAAAACTGCCCAAAAGTGACTGTCAAATAGGGACGGAGGGAGTATTTTCGGTTTTTTTTTCCTTTTTAATTAGTCCTTGTAACTTTCAATTATATACATTTACTTTCGTATTTATAGCATGGTTGCTAATTTGCTTACATGGTTAAAATAACCACTTTTTCTACAAGAGTTTGGGTGTTTGAATCTCCTTCTTCAAACGCTTTTTAATATGTTAAGTATAGATAGATGTTTCAATCAAATTAGGCTTATTCCAACGCAAAACTTCAACGACAACTATCTTTAACTACAGAGTATCATAATGTATATATAATTGTTTTTTTCTATTTTATAATAATATTCATACTTACGTAAATCGATACAAACATTTTCACCTGCATATCACTTTACCTGTAGTTTATTGTTCCTCCCTCCCACTTATTTCAAATTCTTACTTACATACTGACATACATTAATTCTTTATTGTTTCCAACTCGCTGTTAATTATTATGTATTCAATAACATAATACCTCTGAATAATACCCCAAAGTTACACATAATAATTAATAATTAATAATTAATGGAGGTAGTATATGCATTTAAAGTCTTCAAAGTTTGCACAATAAGAGGAAATCTACGGTCAAGATTTTCTCACTTTATGATCTAGTGGTACACACAACACAAAACATCTATGTATCTTAAACCTTTTAATTAGAAGACTTCATGTCCATTCATTTGAAGAACAAGATAAAACACTACACTTGATTTATCGGCTGCTTCATGACTATGATATCCTTCCATGTACCTCACCATCTTACCATTCATTCCTCAACTTTATCTCAACAATCCAATCAATCAACAAAAATCTCCATTATTTCATCTTCTTCTTCTCCTTTAGTTGAACAACCAACTAGTAATAGTAGTAGAAGATTGCTGCTATCTACTTGTATCATAACATCAATTATATCCCCTGTTACTTTCTTCTCATTTTCTGCTGCTTCATTTTCATCAACTCCTAATAATTCAAGTGATGCAATTGGTAAATTCTATGAGATTTCGAATTCCGGTGGTGTTAAGGCATTAGACCTTCGTGTAGGTAGCGGTTCCACCCCTGTCGATGGTGACCAGGTTCGACTTAGGCTCTATTCTCTTCGCCTTAAATTTTCCAAACTTACCTCAATTTTTTATTTTTTTTTTGTTTCCGAACATATTGATTAATTAATATTTTTTTCTATTGTTACATAATACTGTACAAGTATTGGTTACACATTTACACTAGAAAGAGTTAATAAAATTATAAATTGTTTTAGACAGAAAGTGATCTGTTATTTTATTTTGAAACGGCATGACATGTAGAAGTATCGCTTCTAGTGTAATGGCGATCATATATATTCATATACCTTTTCATTTAATCCTATATTATGGCATGTGAATTGACTAATGAAATTTGGCATGGGATTAAAAATAAGTAGGTAGCAATACATTATTATGGAAGATTAGCAGCAAAGCAAGGGTGGCGTTTTGATTCAACATATGATCACAAAGATCCAACTGGTGAACCAATTCCTTTCATCTTCATTCTTGGCTCCAACAATGTAATTTTGCATTACATTTATATACTACCTCCGTTACAGGTTATGTGTAACGATTAGACATTTTTCCTCTTTACTTTATGTCAAATTGTTGCACATATCCTGTAACGGAGATAGTAATTTTCAATACATTAGAAAAGCATGTTATTAGTAAGTTTTAAACTAAGTTAAAGAAATTAAATGGCATTATATGTAAAATGTTACTATTTATAATGTACGTACGTTGTATATCATAGGTAATTTCAGGGATTGAAGCAGCAGTAAGATCAATGAAAGATGGTGGCATTAGAAGAGTAATAATTCCTCCATCTCAAGGATATCAGAACACAACTCAAGAGCCTTTACCACCCAATGTATGTACACAATACACTATATTTTATTGTGTACGTGATTGTAACTTATGTGCTAGTGTATTGATGATCGATGATTTTCGCTTCTTTGGACTAGTTTTTCAACAGACAACGATTATTCACTACAATCTTCAACCCTACACGTCTTGCCAATGGAGAAGGATCGACATTAGGAACTCTTATATTCGATGTTGAGCTTGTTAATGTCAAGCATTAGTCGTAAAAACAAGTTCTTATCTTAAATTGTAATTATTACCAGTACTCCATCCGTAGACAAACTTTTTTATGATCCAATGTTGTATAGCTGTTTAGTGAGACGTGATTGATTGATTGATTTTTCACAAGTTGATATGTAGATATCTTATGTACTTTTACTCACCCGAACTAGAAGAAGATTAGGAATATAACTTATGAAATAATATACCCCGCAAATGTTTCATATTGTGAATTGTGATTAACAACTTGACTATGCTTGCTAAATTGTAGATTTATTCATAATTGGCATGTACAATTTACACTTTTTGCGTGCCAAATTGAAATTAGAATATCAAGATCATATAGAATTTGGAACTTGAGCCTTCTTTGAAATTGTATACAATCTTGTAAGATCAAATTTCTCTATACAAACCATTAATGCAATTAGTTGGTCAATTCAACCAATAGGTCCAATACAATTACGATAAACCCACTAAGGATTTGTGTTAGCGTTGTTATGTTATCCTGCAAGGCTTTAAGTGTCCTCCCTTACAACCACACTTGCTCTTTCTATCTCTTTCATCAACGACCCCACTTACAACCCCATATGCATATTGTATTTTTTTTTATTTTAATTTTTATGTTTTTTTTTAGAGAGTCAAAAGAATGGGGGGTGAGAATATCTCATGAAACAAGGGGGAAAGCTCTAACCACTTCTTAAGAAATTGAATATTACAGAGTACTCTATGAAGCAACTACAAATAGGAGGAGTAAGTAGTCAAATACAGTAAAAAACAAAATAAATAAATAAAACCATCAACCAAAAAAAAAAAAGAATAATCTATACTAATCTATTAAAAGGCGTTAATAAAAACGTCCATGTGCTACGTAGATTCTTTTATAATATGCCACGTGTCGCTTCACAAATAATTCGTGATGCCACATCACCTACCCAATATAATGTTAAGGGAATTTGAACCCCCAACCACATATAACAAAGGTGGCTTATAAACCATCTTATCCCATTATCAAGCATGCTATAAATATTAAAATAAAATATACATAAGTGTAAACCACATGATTTAATTATTAAAAATAAACATTCAATAATATAGATTTCATATTTCAAAATCCTTTGAAAAAATGCCCCAATTATATGATTATAAAAGTAGAAACTCGGGACAACGCCCGGACTAGTCACTAGTAAAATTTTAAAAAGGGTAGAGAATGAAAGTCATTTTGCCACCATAGTAGCCGCAGAAGAATCCTTAGCATTCTCTGCTCACTCTCTGTCTCTCTCTCCTAGGTTTCTATCTTCAATTCGAAGCTAGTTATTCAAATTTACCTTGAAATTTGGTATGCAATTTAGCATTTCTATTGAATTAATTCATTGACTTTTTATTTAAAAATTATTCTGATCATATTTGTTTACGTTCTGATTCTGTTGAGTTTGGATTGTTTATGATTTTTGATTTATGGTTTTGGGTTTAAATTGCGATTTGCGTTTGATTATACTATTGAAGGGGCATTATTCTACTTCCTTTTCTTATTTTCAACCCTCGTAATATTTTGACTTTTATGTTTGTCAATATTTAATTTAACCATTAACATATTAACATAATTATGAGTAAAAAATGCAAATTAACATTATATAGTTGTAATATCTCACAAATATAATATTAAATCGGTGCAAATTGTGATCTGGTAAATTAACCGTTTTAAGGCAACACTACTAGAAAACAGCTGAACACCGACGGAAAAATTCCGTCGGAAAACACCTTTCCGACGGAATTCCGTCGGAAGTGGTTGTCGGAAAAGGGTTCGTAGTAAATAGGGTCTTTTCCGTCAGAAACATTGTTCCGGCGGAATTCTTTCGTCGGAAGGGATTTTCCGGCACCGGCAAATCCGTCAGAAATCTCCGACGGGCGCAATTCCGTCAGAGATTTTCGAGGGAAATTCTGTCGGAAAATTCATTTATGAAATTAAAAAAAAAATACGCCGCGCCACCACCGGCACGGCGTATCACCACCTCCAATCGCATTTCACCCACCACACACCTAACCCAGCGGCCACCACACACCCACCCTAAACCCTAAACACACCTAAACGGCTAAACCCACCTAAGCCCAAACCACCCCCACACAAACCTAACCTAGCGGCCAGCGCCACCCACCATACACCATCAACCCACCAAACCCAGATCTAAACCCGAACTACGCCCCACCTAAACCTAGATCTAAACCCACCAACCATGGTCTACCTAAACCCGACCCACCCACCACAGCCCCACCTAAACCACCCACCACCGCCCACCTAAACCACCCACCGCGGCACCAAAACAACCCCAACGAAATCCAAAAAACCATCTCCAGCTACCACACGCATGCACATAAGCCACACCCACCACCACCATCGAAATCCAAAAAAAAAAAAAAAAAAAACAGAAACAAAATCGAAAATTTAAAAATATAAAACATACCTTAAATTGAAATATGCTTTGAATTTCACCATGGAAACGGTTTAACAAGGCCAAATCGGCCATTTAAAGTCTAGATCTAGGCTTTAAATGGACGAATTTGGCCTCAAAACCTTTAATTTGCTTTATTCACCATGAGAAGAGAGAGAAAGGGTGAAACCCTTGACCGCTTTTGGTGTGATTGTGGTGGTGTTGTTGGTGATTGTGGTGGTGTTGTTGGTGATTGTCGAAAGGGGGAAAGAAGAGGAAAGAGAGAGATGAAGAAAGAGAGGAGGAGCAGAAATAAAAGAGAGAGAAGGAGAAGGAGAAGAGAAAAGCGGCTGAGAGAAGGAGAAGAAGAGAGAAGAGCGGCTGGAGAAGAAGGAGAAGAGGAGAGAGAAGGAGAATGAATAAAAAGGAGGCGGAGGCAGCTAGGGTTTTAAAAAAAAAAAATTTTTTTTTAAATATATTCCGACGGACTTTAAATCCGTCGGAAATGGAAAATTACGACGGAAAATTCCGTCGGAAAACACATATATTCCGACTGATTTAATTTCCGTCGGAAATTTCCAACGGATTTCTGACGGAATTGTGAAATCCGTCGGAAAATTTCGAGGAAACTAAAATTCGTCGGAATATATGTGTTTTCCGACGGATTTTAGTGTCCGTCGGAACCATTCCGTCGCTATTTGCCTGTTTTCTAGTAGTGCAAATTGGATGGTTCCACCCACCAAATTGGACTTCCAGAGGGTATTTGGGACCATGATAAACATCTCGGAAATTTTTATATCCAGGCGAAGAAAGGTCAAAAAATTCCAAAATTGAAGGTTATTATCCACGCTTTTTGAGTAATTTCGGAGGTTACGGGGCCTAGTGGCGAAAAGACTTGAGGCCTTAGGGGATGCATCTCAGGATCAGATAATGTCGTTTGTAACCATAAATGACCATTATATGTTGTCATAAATGTCCGTGGTAGGCTTAAATTCACGAAATCGGTGCAAGTTGTGAACAGATAAATTGACCGTTTGAAGGCAAATTGGATGGTTCCACCCACTTAATTGGACTCCCGGAGGGTATTACAGACCATAGTAAACTTTTCGGCAATTTTTATTTCCGAACAAAAAAAAAGGTCAAAAAATTCCAAAATTGAAGACTAAAATCCACGCTTTTTGAGGAATTTCAGAGGTTACAAGGCCCGGTGGCGAAATTTTTTGAGGCCTTAGGGGATACATCTCACGGTTATATAATGTTGTTTGGAACCATATATGACCATTATAAGTTGTCATAAATGTCTATGGTAGACTTGAGTTCACGAAATCGATGCAAGTTGTGAACAGGTAAATTGATCGTTTTAAGGACAATTGGATGGTTCCAACCCACCTAATTGGACTCCCGAAAGATATTCGGGACCATGGTAAACATCTCGCAATATTTTTTTCCGGGCGAAAAAAAGGTCAAAAAATTCCAAAATTGAAGGCTATTATCCACGCTTTTTGAGAAAAATCGGAGGTCATGGCGCCTAGTAGCGAAAAGCCTTGAGGCCCTATGGAATACATCTCAAGGTCATATAATGCCATTTGAAACCATATATGACCACTATATGCTATCATAAATGTCCGTAATAGGCTTGAGTTCACGAAATCGGTAAAAAGTTGTAAACGGGTAAATTGACCATTTTAAGGAAAATTGGATGGTTCCACCCAACTAATTGTACTCACGGAGGATATTAGGGATCATGATTAAATTCTCAACCATTTTTATTTCCGGACGAAAAACGGTCAAAAATTCCAAATTTGAAGGCAATGCCTTTTCAGGAATTTCAGAGGTTACGAGGTCCGAAGGGGAAAAGTCTTGAGGCCCTAGGTTATACATTTAAGGGTCATATAATGTCATTTGGAACCATATATGACCATTATATGTTGTCATAAATGTCCGTGGTAGGTTAAACTTCACGAAATCGGTGCAAGTTGTGAACTTGTAAATTGATCGTTTTAAGGCAAATTGGATGGTTCCACCCACCTAATTGGACACCCGGAGGGTATTTGGGACCATGCTAAAAATCTCGACAATATTTATTTTCGGGCGAAAAAAGGTCAAAAAGTTCCAAAATTGAAGGCTATTATTAACGCTTTTTGAGGAATTTCGGAGGTCACAGGCCCGGTGGCGAAAAGTCTTGAGGCCCTAGGGGATAAATATCAAGGTCATATAATGCATTTTGGAACCTTATATGACCATTAAATGTTGTCGTAAATGTCCGTGGTAGATTTGAGTTCACAAAAACGGTTCAAGTTATGAATTGGTAAATTGACAGTTTTAAGGAAAATTGGATGGTTCCACCTACCTAATTGGACTTCTGGAGGGTATTTAATATTATGCTAAAAATCTCGGCAATTTTTATTTTCGGGCGAAAAAAGGTCAAACAATTCCAAAATTGAAGGCTATATTATTCATGCTTTTTGAGAAATTTCGGAGGTCACAGGCCCCGTGGAGAAATATCTTGAGGCCCTAGGGGATACATATCAAGGTCATATAATGCCATTTGGAACCATATATGACCATTAAATGTTGTCGTAAATGTCCGTGGTAGGTTTGAGTTCGCGAAAACCGTGCAAGCTATGAATGGTAAATTAACGATTTTAAGGCAAATTGGATGGTTCCACCTACCTAATTGGACTTTCTGAGGGTATTTGGGACCATGTTAAAAATCCCGAAAATTTTTATTTCTGGGCGAAAATAGGTCAAAAAATTTTAAAATTGAAGGCTATTATCCACGTTTTTTGAGGAATTTC